GAGGCCTCACATGGCAGCAAGACTCAAGGCAGCAACACCAGGACCAGCCTCTCACATTGACATAATGGGGGTGGGGTGTAAGTGCCTCCTTCCCAGCAGCCCCTGCAAAAATCTTCTTATAGGCTTCTTGGGGGTCACATGTTGGTATATGAACCAACACTAAGGCTAGGGAAGTGGAGCTTGCTGGTTGGCTCAGGCCACTGCTCCCTGCCTAGAGCGTGTGGGTAGAAGGGGCAGTCAGCCTTACCCAGACCCAATGAAAGTGGAAATGAGGTGGTTTCCCAGCAGGAAGCTGGGGTATGGTATCAGGAAGGTAAGTGAACCATGGGCCACAAGAACAACAGGTATCTTCCAAAGGAAATCAGTGGTCAGAGAACTAAGCAGATGAATACTTTTCAAGTACTCCCAAGCCCTTTAAAAATATAACTGATGGGGTGCCTGGGTGGCTCAGTCATTTAAGTGTCACTTCGGCTCAGGTCATGATCTTGAGGTTCATGAGTTTGAGACCCGTGTGGGGCTCTGTGCTGACAGCTCAGAGCCTGGAGCCTACTTGCAATCCTCTGTCTTCCTCTCTCTCTGCCCCTCCCCTGCTCACGTTCTGTCTCCCTCTGTCTCTCATAAAGAAATAAAACATTTAAAAAATTTTTTTAAGTTTAAAAAAATATATAATTGGTGTGCTAGTTTTAAATCCCTACAGATCTCTGACAATGTGTTATTGGACCCATTTGGGATAGCCTATACTTGCCCAAGAACAGTAAACCTACATCTTTAAGCAATCTGTAATCCATACTTCCCAGGAATTCAGACTGGCCTTGCCCCTTCCTGTCCGCACTGGTGGGCAGCTTGACTGAACTGACCAATGCTGTAAGGGCTAGAAGTTATTTTCACCAGGGGCTTCCCTTAGCTAAATAGGCAGTGAAAGAGGGTTGACTCCCGTGGCTTCAGCCTTCCCTTTCACCCCGACCCCCACAAGCTGCCTCTTGCCTTTAAATCTTCCCTGGTTACTTTCTTTCTACCACCACTCTCCCAACTCATTTCTAAATCCTGTTTTCTTAGAAAAGACTTTGTCATCAGCCACTTGTATGTGTGTATGAAGCGGCATCAAATAGTTTAACCTTTCTCAGCACTATGTGCATTTTAACTCTGAGCCTTTTAGTCAAACAAATGGCTTTGTCCTGCCTCCCCCCTACTATTCCCAAAAGGTACAGAGCAAATGAGACTCTGAAATCAGGCAACCAATGTCCACAACCTTCCCCGAAACCCTCGCCCATCCACACAGCCTTGCCAATGTGTTTTTTTCCTCCAAGTCTAACCTCAATCATCTTTACTTACATTCAATCATTACCCTCTGCTGTGGCAGGGAAGTTTCTTGAATCCTTTCATCCATTGATTCACTCAACAGATTTTTCCTGAGTCTCCACCATATTTTAATACTTGAGTATGCCAAGACAACCCAGGCCTCCCCCCCTCTGACAGCCTGCAGCTGAATCTCAATGCAGGAAACATCATCTGCACACACACAGCCTAGCCCAGTGGCTGGTATTCAGTAGGTATTCAATAAGCGCTGCTTCCTCTTCTCAGGGCTGCACAATGTGGAAAACACTGGAAATTTTCTAAAACCCTTTCCAGGTGGACAGGAGTGCCAACAGGAGTGGGTGGAGATGGTGGTTTCTATCTTGCTTCAGAATGTCATGATTTGTTCTGGATGTTCCAAATGTCAGGCTGGAGATCATGCAAAGGAGAGGGGCTTATTCTAACCAGATCAGGTCTAGAGGCAGCCCAGGACACGGTCTCCCTGGTACACGGCCCCAGACAGTTTGGAAACAAACAGAAACCCATCCAGAGGAGGGAGAGTGACAAAAGCAAAAACAAACAAAGGCCAAGAGATGGAAAACTCATGAGGTGGGGCTGGGTGGGAAGGAGCGGAGCAAGGCAGGATAGGGGGGGCTTTGGGGGGAGCTGAAGGAGGGGAGTGGCCCTGAGTGTATGTGTGTGTGTGTGTGTGTGTGTGTGTGTGTGTGTGTGAGGAGCTGAACCCAGCTCCCCCTCCATCCCAAGAATCACCATGGCAACGGGGAGGGTGAGTACGGCTGACTCCAGGCCAACACAAACCTCCCGTGCTTAGCGGCAGGATTGGGCTCAGATGCATGGGGCCATGTTCTAAAGAAAAAGATCTGAATTAGGCTCCTTAAGTCACAAACTTCCTACCCACTCTGATTTTGTAGGCACTGTTTAACAAAATGAATTAATCAGAAATGACAGTGAATCACATTCCTATTCCATGTTTCTCTCACATCCACAAGTACACTTATCCAAAAGCCCACAGAGCAAAACCCCCTTCCCTTTGTGGGTAAAACTGACAGCTCATTGGATTCTTGGCACTTTCCAGAAGCAGTGACCTAACCTGTGGGAGGTCTTCTTGCCACCCCTGCCCAAATTGTCCCTGCTGACAGCGGCATTAGTGACAGAGGATTGATGGGTTTGCTTTCACAAGACCAAGGCAGCTGTGGCTCCGAAGTGAGGGGGCTGAACCATCATCTGGTCTCCTCTGCCATCAGTGGCCTGGTGAAGCTCTTGACCCAGAGGGGCTTGTCAGCAAGGAGACTGCTGCTTCTTTCTCCATGAAAAAATGTCTGTAGCATGAACCCTCGGGGCTCCCAAACCCATGACAGCTGGCTTCTAAGGTCTGCCTTAGACATCAGGTTGATGCTAAATAGAACTGTGAGTCTAGGTTTTGCCTCCTTCCCGCCTCTTCATTCCTAGCTACCCAGAGATCTCACACTATCCCCTATTACCCTAGTCCAGGGTGGACTCATCCATGAGGCAGAGTAGGCACAGGACATAGAGTCCACATTACAAAAATGTTTTCATTTCCTTTAAAATCAGAAGGATGCACACTGGGTGGCTCAGTTGGTTGAGCATCTGACTCAATCAACTGATTTGGGCTCGAGTCATGATCCCAGAGTCGTGGAATCGAGCCCCATGTTGTGCTCCATGCTCAGTGTGAGATTGTCTCTCTCTCTCTCTCCCTCTGCCCCTCTTCCCCACTTACACTCTCTCTCTAAAAAAAAAATTTTTTATTAGAAAAAAGGGGTGCCTTGGTGGTTCAGTCGGTTAAGATCCGACTTTGGCTCAGGTCATGATTTCATGGTTTCTGAGTTCAAGCTGCGCATCAGCCTCTCTCCTGTCAGCACAGAGCCCACTTCAGATCCTCTGTCCCCTTCTCTTTCTTTCCCTCTCCTGCATATGCTCTCTCACTCTCTCTTAAAAATAAACAAAAACTAAAATTTATTTGTTTTAATTTTTTAAAATGTTTTATTTATTGAGAGATAGAGAGAGAGAGAGAGACAGCATGAGCAGGGGAGGGGCAGAGAGAGAGGGAGACACAGAATCTGAGGCAGGCTCCAGGCTCTGAGCTAGCTGTCAGCACAGAGCCCAACGCGAGGCTCGAACCTACAAACTGTGAGATCATGACCTGAGCCGAAGTCGGATGCTTAAACGACTGAGCCACCCAATTAAAACTAAAATTAAAAAATCAGGAGCAAATAACAAGCTTGTAAGTGGAAGCAAACATTTTAGTATTTAATAGCAGTATAGTCATCTTTATGGCAACACAATCATAAAATATAATTTCAAATATTTATTAAGGAGTCCAGGAAGGCAAAAGTGCCCGTGAAAGTCATAATGTAATCCTGCCCTAATCTTCCTCTCTGCTCACTCATTTCAACCCTCAAAACTCCAGGGGTTTCCTTCTGTCATATCAAAATGTACCTGTCCAATGCCCCCCCCCACCCCCCCGCGCCTAGGAGCACCTGGAGGATAGGACCATTCTTCAACCATCTTCAAGTTCCCATGCTCACATCAGGTATTGTATTGACTCTTTGGGAGTGGGGTGAGGTGTGGGGGCAGAAACCTCATGGGAAAAAAGAGGGGGGGCTAGGTTTTAAATAAATATTGGCTGAGAATTGCTGGAACCTGTGTACAACCTATCACATCTGTGCAGCTGGACTTTGTCCACATCCCCTGTTGCTGAATGCTACTCGAAACTGTTCCCACCAAGTTCACTAATGATCTTCAACTCAGTAAATCCAATGGATACTTCCCAGGTCTAATCCTGACTGCTCAGCACCATTTGACACTGCTCATCGAGATTTTCTTTTTGGCTTCCATGACGCTTAGCTGTTGTGTTTTCCTCCTATTTCCCCGGACATTGCTGCTAAGTGTCCTGTGCATGCTCATTCCTTCTGCTGGGCCACTAAAAACTAATAATAGCAGCTGAAACATGTCAGCTATTTGCTCTCGGCTGAGCCCTACTTTGTCAGTTCTTTAAATCCTCAAAATAATGCTAAATCTATTCTGCAGCCACCAGCCAGAGTGATCTTCTGGGAAACCAAATCTGATCATATCGTTTCCTTGCTTAAAACCTTAATGGTGCTCCCTGGCCCACAGCTTTGAGGGTCTTGCATGATCTGGCCTGTGTCCACCTCTCCTGCCCCGTTTCTCACCACAGCCTCTTCCTTGATGACCTTCCTGCCTTTAACCTCTCTGGCAAAAACTCTAGGTCCTTACATGTGCTGTTCCCACTGCCTGAAACACTCTCCCTCTGCCTGTTAGCCTGACACCAATAGTCCCTTTGGGTTCCAGTCGCATATCACCTTTTCTAGGAGGCCAAGGGCACCGCAGAGGATGGTGGTTGCGAGATTCACACGGAAACCTGCCGTGTGCAGTTTCCAGCCGCTTCCCAGCCACGTAACCTTGGGCAAGTCAGCTCCAGGAGGGCAGGGACACTTTGACCTTGATCCTGCTCTTATGCCTAGTGCCTGGCACATGGTAGGTGCTCGTATTTGTTAAATCAATGACTAGAGACCTAATACCTAGGGTGATATATGGTGTTCAGCAAACCGCTACCTCGAACAAGGGAAGAGAGGATGTGATTTTTAGCAACAAGGCATACACAGCAGACTCCCGCTGAGGCTGAAAGCAGTCACAAAGGCCACCTGGTAATTAGGAAAATACCTTTATTATCTCTGAAATCTTCCAATAGTCAACATAAAAACCATGATAGTGGCTTGTTCACAATGTCACAGGTTATAGAAAAATGACTTTCTACCTTCTTTACAGAAGTCTACCCCTCAAATCAGACGGGGCTCCATGATGGCTGAAACAGGGTGGGCAGGAAGGGCAGAGAAAACAGCAAGGAGATCTGCAGCTCCCTGGGCAGCCAGAGGCTTTCCCCGCACTTTTAAAAGCCAGGTTGGGTCCCAACGACCTGTGAGCCCTCTGAGGGAGGCTCAGCCCATGCACACTTGTGACAGACCGAGGCAGGCCTCTGTCCTAAAGGCCTGCAGTGTGGCCCTTGTGCCCGGGAGGCCACAGTCAAGGCAGCTTCGTGAGAACAAGAACAGGAAGCAGGCCTGCAACTCAAATCCCTTTCTCTAAAGCATGGCCAGGAAAGAGACTTCAGGCACCGGCCAAAGGGTGCTCTAGAAATCTTTCCCTTTCACTCAGCTCCCAAAGATGAAATTTGTCAAATAGCTATTTAAAAAACAAAACAAATCAAAACAAACATGTGTTTCCATTTCAGCTATAATCAGCAGTTTGGTAATTTTTAGAAAAAGATGACTTGAGTCGCTCACTGTTAAATTTGTCTTTTTTATCAGGTCTCTGGCTCCTTCTTTGCTCGTCCATGGTTGGGGCAGGGGGGTTACAGCAGAAGGCTGTCTGTTCATTTGAGAAAACTGTGAAAATGTTTTGCACTCACATACAAAGACTGATGGAATTCAGAAACGATCCCACCAGTTTTTATGAGAAACATGACTGTTCCTCTTGGGTGTCTCAGGTCAAAACAAGGCAACCGCCTAGTGATTTATAGTCCCCACTACACATATTCTGCCTTCCAGAAGGCATTAGAGAAAGGGCCAACGTCTGCCAGGAGCGATTGTAAACACACCACTGACAGCTTGGATACTTTGTTTTTAAATGCAGCAGGACATTTTCCTTTGGCCCTGGCAGAAAAGCCAACTCCCTAGGACTGTTTAGGAAGGAGCAGACAGGAGGACTCCCCTGAAACCCACTGAAACTCCTCATGGTCCCCACTGAGCAGAGTGTGGCTCAGAGCATCATCAAAGGCAATCAATACATTTATGGCATATGAAAATTGTCCTGTGGTCCCCAAATGGCCCCTAGGCTCCACCCAGTTGGACGTGGGGCACTGGAGGTACAGAACAGGTTATCATAAGGCACATGGTCAAGGTGGCCCCCCACAACCAGGACCAGAGAGATTATCTCTTTGCACGATTCCAGAAGTGTTGGAAAGCTGAGGAGTTGATGGCACTCACAATGAGCAGCAGCAGCAGATACAGGGAGATCATGACCGTAAACCAATGGCTGGAAAACCAGGACAGCTGGCTTGAAGCCCTGCTTGGGGGGGGAGTCATGTTGGCAAGAAGAGAAAAACATTTTTTTTTAAGTGTATGCAACAACTTCTGGCTCAAAGAAGATGACATGATGAATCTCATCCTCTGAGTGAGCCATGAAATAAAGCTTCATGCGTGCTCCTTCACTCAAAAAAATCTGGGGCTCTTTGTCCTGGCACCGACACATCTTTCACCAGAACATCTTCTAAATGTACAAGGACAGCTATGCAATGAGCTCATCCTGATCCTCTCTTTCACAGCTTTTTCATGGTGCCTTTTGTGACCCGTCTTTTCTCAGGCAAGACTTTGGTATCTAGAAGACTAACTGTGCTCAGGGTGTCTGCCCAGGTGGCAGCAGGTGGCAGGTTATTTAGCAGAAACCTTTTCACTTTTAGACACGTACAGATATCAGTCCAAGCTGGGGAAATCCTCTCTGGCCCACTGGGAGATGGTCTAAGCCTTCCAAGTGTGCACTAAAGAGACACTCCAGGGAGAAGTGGGAAAGGAATGGAATTTTCAAGTAGAAAAAGCCAGATGGTTTTAAACCAAAGGATAATGTTCCTCAGACTCAGGAACCCTATACAAATCTCCCCAGTGTGGGGGATGCGGTGAGGGTTTTACTGGCTTATGAAATCTTGAAGCGTGGAAACACTGGTGTATACAACCAGGAGTGGGGTGATTACAAGTGACCCCCTTTCCTATCTTAGCTGCTCGTCTGCTGCTCGTGCCCATCAGAAGCTCAGCCACAGATGCCAACAATGTAACAGGCTCTCGACCCCAGGGGACCCTGCCACCTCCCACCATGCTGCTGAGATGGGATGAGGAATCCACCGTGGTTCTTAGGAGCTGACAGGTCTCGTCTGCTGTCGAGTTCGACACCCTCATATTAGACATAAAGGTGAAGCATCTCAGGTCCAGAGAGGAGCAGCCACCGCAGGAAGTAACCAAGCAGGGTGGCCCACGTTCCCAGTCAGCATGCAGGCACCACCCTGCCTCTCAGGCTCAACCTAAATCAGCACGTTTCCGACTGCAATCAGGAGCCTGGGTGGCTAAGGGGCCCCGTGGTCTGGAGCAGCCGATTTGGCTTCTTCCGGTCCCTCATGCTATTAGTGTTTACAAATCTCTCTGTCTTCTTCACTAGAACACAGTCCCCTCAGGGCCAGGCCTGCATCTTGTTCTGCCTGTCTTCCTCAACCTCACCGTGTGTAGCATGGTGTTTTATACACTTTACACACAGCTCAGACCTAAAGCTGGGGGCAAGGGATGCTGATAACTAGGGACACAGTACTCTCAGCTTTTAGAGGTTCTCCCGGGCCTCTCGCCGGGACCGTCCTCCTTACCTCTTGGGCTGCTTCTGGGAGTACACCAGCAGGTACTTCACTCGCAGGAGCTGGTTATTGGTGACCACAAAGTACTTCGGAGGGATGTCTCCGCCTTCACTGTGTTTGATTCTTGCTCTCCTGCGATCTATCTCCTTAGAATCTGAATAAGGAGAAAAAAGTACAACTTCACCAGGGGGGAATACAATAATAAAAGAAGCAAATTATGACTAGAAACAGGTCAAGCCTTCCGGTCATGAGGGTGGGGAAGCCCCAGCAGGCTGAGGAATGGCCTCGGCTAAATATATGTATATATATATTTGCTATATACGAAGCAGCACTAAAATACAGGAGAATCTGACAAACCGGAGGAGGTGGAAAAAGAAACAGGAAAATAAAAGGGACACTAGGGGGAAACTGAGTTGGAAAAGTAGAGGGAAGAAGCAGGTTGATGGCCATAACAAAAAAAGTTATCTGGACCTACGGACGGGGCTTGATCCAAAAACCGTCTCTTAGCAGGCATTTTAAATGAACCATTCCAAACTTTCGAGCTTCTTAGAACTCTTATGTTCCCACCCTTTGTACCAAGATATGTTTAAAAACAAGACAAAACAAAAATACCTAAAACTTTCCTTTTAATGACATGATGAAGCTTTACAAAAAGAAACAAACAAAGCCAAAGCTGTGCGACAGTAGACATCGCAAGGTTTTGTTCTGATGTTTAATGTCACCGTTTGCAAACTTCCTAAGAATTATAAATGCAAATATTCATGCTGCCTGGTGTGGAAGGGTGGTGTCAGACCTGGGCCCGTTCCTCAGGATTCCAGTTGTTTTACATTAGAGGCCAGGAACAGACAGTTTCCTCAATTCTCCTTTTCTCAGTGGAACCAACAGGCCAGGTCTGGAGACTAGAACAACAGTTCTGCGACTCTTCCGCCTTTGTGGGCAAAACTGCAGGGCGCACAAGGCACAGACTCTAAGGGACACATCAGAGGAGTGGGCTGAGGCGGCTAGCCAGCCATCCACTCCCAGAGAGCCTGGGATTTCCTCCCCGTGGCCTCAGTTTGCTCTCACATCCTCTGGGGGCTCAGGAACACACCAGAGCAGCCTGGACGGACAGGGTCTGGATCCATGTCTTTAGTTTCAGTTTAGCAAATACCTACTGAATGTCAAGTAGGTTTCAGACTCTTTGCAGATATCAGGTGCCCAAGATCGACTAAAATCCACTTTCTGCCTTCAAGGAGCCCACACTCTGGCCTCACACACTCCCTTTTATCTGTCAAATCTCACCTCCTCCTGGGGCACCTCTGAGTGGCTCTGTAGGTTGAGCGTCTGACTTCAGCTCAGGTCATGATCTTGTGGTTCATGGGTTCGAGACCCATGTCGGGCTCTGTGCTGACAGCTCAGAGCCTGGAGCCTGCTTTGGATTCTGTGTCTCCCTCTCTCTCTGCCTTCCCCCCACCTCAAAAATAAATAAACATTAAAAAAAAAAAAAAGTAACTCCTCCTCCAAAGTTTCCCCCGAGCACTTGGACCTACTATGAGTGATTGCACCTTCCTCTGAGCTGACCTTGTGGACTTCATCAGCCCCCTCACGTGGCACTGTCCACCCACCACCTCATAGTAAGTGTTCCATCCCTAAGGAGTGTTCACTCCTTGGAGGCAAGGCCCGGTCCCACATTGCTTTGGACTCAGCCCATCCCTTCACGTGCAGTGGGTGCTCCACCCAATAGATGGGTCAACGGCAAAGGCCTGCACACTCAGAGGCCTGCCCCCCAGGTCTAGGTCGAGTGCTCACTCACCCTTCTTCTTCACTTGGCACTTGACATCTGGATGATCGATGACTTCGCACACAGCCACACAGCTGAGGATGGGCCCAAGGAGGCTGCGCTGCCATCCAAGGCCATGGGGGCTATAAATGAGGGCCAGGCTCAAGTCACTGGTGAGGTAGGTCCCTTCCCCAAACAAGGATGTCTGGAATGGCAGAGGTCAACAGAAAAGAAACAGGGTTGGGTGAATGTAAAGTTGGCACAGCAAGATGACACAGGTCTTTCAACAGAGTTGTGAATACAAAATTCTCAAGCCTCTTTTTTCCCCAGTAAAAGGCATATAATGTCAGATCATTCTATGACATCCTCACAGGGTTATTAGTAAACCTATTCCTATCTGATGACAGTTTAACTAATTATGGATGTGCCCACCTTGCCTGGCCAACTAGCAGTTCCTGAGGTCAAGGTTGAGTGAGAAAAACATAGGTATGAGTTCAAACAGACCTGAGTTTAAATCCTGACTATACCTCCAACAAGCTGGCAAGTTACATAAACTCTCTGGGTCTCAGTTTCTACATCTGTAAAATGGTGACGATAGTATCTCCTCTATGAGGTTGAGGATGAGGATTCAATGAGATAATGTACATAAAACATGAAGCAGGACACCTGGCACATCAGAGAGGTGGGCATTTACATCATAATATATTAGTAATTCCTGTTACATGAATGCATTTAGCATGGTTATACTGATGGCCTTGCAGAAGCAAAGTCACACACTTATCCACAGGGAGGGGGAGCACACCTGAGGGTGGAAGTGACCTAAGCGTTGCGTGGAAAAGAAAAGAAGCTCTCAGACAAGAAACTGTAACCAAATAAGGCAGGCGTATATTAGGGGCATGGGGTTGTGTTGGTATCAACCAGAGAAATGTCCAAAATCTAGGAGGGAGGTCCCTAGTGGTAGGTGCTAACTTGATGTCCTCCATGAGGAAGCCAGGTTAGAGGAAGGATCTCAGGAGACATACCTGCAAGCTGAGACTACAGCAGGCAGAGCAAACTCATCTTTTGCCCAAGGGAAACCATGGCCAAGGGTCAGTAATCAACCACGATGGCCAGCATAAAAATATCAATTGTGGCACTCATTCATACTGACTCAGAATCCTTCTCAACACAACATTTCAGGTAGCTGCTACCAATGGATGGAATTTGAAATTCAATTGCTATCTTTGGGGTACAGTATTAGTATCTGTTAAGTAAACTCAAACTGCTCACTGAACAGCCTATGCTTGGGAACTGGGAAATGTCCTATTCAGTGACACTAGGCTTCTACAATTCTAAGCTGGTTTGGTGAAGCTTAGGGGAAATGAAACAAGGCTTTGCTTTACCTTTGGGAAGCCCCTTGCCAAGTGAGGCAGTGTCCCCATGTCTCAAAAGCTGACATGCACCTTCTCCAAGGACACTGGGTGTTGTCTGATCTGACTCCACACTCATTCTAAGCTACAGCTGCCATATATAAGCAGACTAGACTCCCTAGACTCAAGAACCTCAAGCAAGACTGCTGTAAGCAGAGGCACACTGGAGTAGGAAAGCTGAGGTATCTGTACTATGAAAACAATCTCATGGCTTCAACTGGCAAGTAGGCTCCCTCAAGCAAGCCCCTCACTGAACACCCAGAAAGAAGCAGTCAAAAGAGCATCCACTTTACCAAAGGACTCCGACAAGATGCCTCTAAGCAGTAAACTCCCTGGACACTGAAGAGGTCTGGTGTAATCTGCAGGCAACTTCTCCAAGGCCAGTTCTGCTGTGAAGCAGAGGCCCCCCAAATTCCAGTAGCCTGGCCATAATAATAGGCTGAGAGCCAGTATAAACAGGCCCGTCATTGAACGCAAAACCCAACTGCACACTAATCAGCTACAGCAGTGTTGGAAAGGTCTCTCTAGCCTCAGGGCTGCATGAGCCACAACTGAACCCATGGCCCATGGAGCCAACCCTTCAGATGAGGCAGATGCTGGCATGACTGGGGGAAAGCTACAGCTCTCTCACTAGCCTAGATTCCTTCTCCATCTGTCTATAAAAGCAGCCATTGCTTTCTTAGAGTCTAGTACGGGAAGAGCCCTTTGCATATATAAACTATCTGAATCCTCTCAGCACATGAGACCGTGGGTGATAACACCCTATTTTACAGATGAGGACACTGAGGCTCAGAGGGGTTAAGTAATTTGTCCAGGATGCAGAGTAGCTAAGGCAGTCTTTCTGGCTCCTAAATGTACTTGTCCTCCTATGCCTGATTAAAGGGCAAAATAAGTGCCAGCAAAGAGGGGTGATCGACCCTGTTTTGACTCCAAAAAAAAGGGAGGAAAGGACCTTTCCTTGGAGCATCCCTCAATTTTCCCAAGGACTGACTCTGTTGGACTGTCCCCTAGGCAAGTGTTTCTCAAACTTCAATGTTCATATGAATCACCTGGGGAGCTTGTTAAAGTCATCTCTGATCAGGTGGTCTGGGGTGTGCCACATGTCTACAAGCTCTTAGGTGATGTGGGTGCTGCTGGGCAAGGACCATGCTGAACAGGGAGGGTTGGCTACACACTAGGATCACCTGGCTTTTATTTATTTATTTCATGTTTATTTATTTATTTTGAGAGAGAGAGAGAGAGAGAGAACAAGCAAGGGAGGCACAGAGAGAAAGGGAAAGAGAATCCTAAGCAAGGAAGGGTCCATGTTGTCAGCACAGAGCCTGATTCAGGGCTCAATCTCACTAACTGTGAGATCATGACCTGAAATCAAGAGCCGGATGCTTCATCGACTGAGCCACCCAGGTGTCCCATGGGACCCCCTGGCTTTTAAAGCATACTGTTATCTGGGCCCCACACAAGAGACTCTGACTGAATTCATCTGGGATATATAGCCAAGCACTGGGATTCTTTTTTTTTTTAAAACCTTTTTTTTTAAATGTTTTATTTATTTCTGTGTGAGAGAGAGAGACAGCGTGAGCAGGGGAGGGTCAGAGAGAGAGGGAGATACAGAATCTGAAGCAGGCTCCAGGCTCTGAGCTGTCAGCACAGAGCCCGACGCGGGGCTTGAACCCACGAACTGTGAGATCATGACCTAAGCCGAAGTCAGATGCTTAACAGACTGAGCCACCCAGGCGCCCCACACTGGGATTCTTAAAAGCTTCCCAAGTGATTCCAAATGGGCAGCCAAGGTTGGGAACCATATTTAAATCAATACTTCTTAAACTGTAATTAGTATAGGAATCACGCAGAGATCTTGTTAGAATGCAGGTTCTAAATCAGAAGGTCTAGGGTGGGCTCAAGATTCTGCATTTTCACAGGTTCCCAGGTGCTGGTGCTGCCACTGGCCTGCAGACCACACCTGAGTGGCAAGGACTCAGTGACCCTATCTCCCCAGCCTCCCCCGGGCAACTCCCCAGGGCTCTGACCCCCTTGTCATCAGGCTTAGGCCCCACCTTGTTCAGGTGGCAATGCAGCCCGTTGTGGATGATGGAATGGAAGTTTTCAAGGCGGCTCCCATGGAAGGCGTAGATTAGGTCTCGTTCTCCTTTGGTCTCATAAAATTTGGCGTCCGCTGGGTTGGAGTACTCAATTTCAAACAGGAAGTCCGGCACAGGGACAGGCGAGTGAGGGGCACCGGTCAGCTTTTGGATCTTTTCGAACTTGAAAACATGTAGGAAGTCACAATTTTATTGGGGAAGCTGTTAAGACATGCTGCCAAAATAGCCTCCTAAAGCTTTGGGCTTAATTCCTTTGGGGTCTGCTCATGAGAACTAGTTTCATGAGAATAAAGACAACAATTTATAAGTAAGCTTAGAGCTTCTAGCTCAAGACTGCTTTCCTATAATAATGTTTTTTGCTACACTAGGCCGAGAAGCACAAATTACTGCTTCGCACTAGAGACCACCCCTAGTTTTCTAACACTGTCACATGCATTTCCTGCACTCCATCTTTATAACAGTCTCAGGAGGTAGAAAGGTGGGATCAATTGCAAAAATGGCCACAAACTTTTCCTCTCATCCTTGTCCATTCACCCCTCTGTAACATGAGTCTGCAGGTGGAATTCCAGGACTCCATCAAAAGGTGGCACCTCTCTGCCCCTTGAATCTGGGCTTGGTCATGTGATTTGCTTTGACCAATGGGACCCTGGCAAATATATAGCAAACAGACTTTGAAAGGGCTTGCCCTTAACCTTCTGCTGCTGGGAACGCTTCACTGCCATGTGAATGAGCCCTGCTAGTCTTCAATAGGATGACGGCCTCACAGAGGGCCCCAACCATAGCAACCATCCCAGCTGAGGATGGAGACAAGGAAGTGAGACACTCTAGATCATCCAGCCCCACCCACAAGAACAATCCAACTCACTCACAGAATCACGAGAAACAATCAAGGTTGTTTTAAGCCACTAGGTTTTTGCAATGATTTGTCATGCAATAAAACCTAACTGATACAGGAGAGTAAGCTCTTCCTAAAAGGCAATAATCCTTTTCAGGGCAGAGACGACATCATCTCAGTGATTTCTAAATAGTAAGTCATTGACCAAAGCCAATCTATGGCAAAGTTTTCCCTGGGTTGTGTTTAAATGAGAAAAATAAGGACAATGTAACTGATACATTTATATTGCTGTAGGGTTGCCATGATCCTTTCTTTGGATGAACTATTCCTTTTTTGAGGACATCCTCCTTTTTTATATTAAAACATCCTTTTATAAAGCAACAACACGGAGCAGCCTGATGCTCTTACTCGGGCACAGTAAAAGGGTGATAACCCTCACTCCATATGGTGCCAACACTCTGTACTTTAATGGAATTTAACTGGTGCATAATGAAAAGTCAAGGAGTCACACTGCCTGACATCTAGTAGGTGCTTAATACCCACATGAAGAATGAATAAATCTCAATTTAGCAGATGCCAAAGTGAAACCCAGGGATCATCCAGCAGTTAGCAACCCAGCCTGGACTTGAATGGGGATCTCCTGACTCCCACTCCAGAGCTCTGTGTGTTATTTACCATTTGCCAACATAGATGGACATCCCTAAACACCAGAATCCCAGGTACCAAATTCCATGCCACTTAAGGAGGATTTCTGTCTTGAGCAGAAGCTTGTAAAATTAAGTTCTCTTAAATTAAAATTGATTAAGTAAAGACCACTACATATAAAGCCTTGTTGCTGCTCAGAGAAAAGAGCACCAGGTCAGGGATCCACCCTCCTACACTCTGGTCCTTGCCATCCCTGCCTGTCCCTGGGAAATCCCGGCCAGGCAAGGGAAGCTGAATTAAAGAATGTCTGACCTGTGCCAGAAACTGTACTGGAGGTGGCATACATTCTATCATAGCTCCCCTCTGAGTTAACTATGAATATTTGCAATTTACAATAGGGAAAAGGAGACTCAATAATGGATGGAACTGGGATTTGATCCCAGAGCCTGAAGTTTTCCGTTACTTCTGGTTCCACCTCTGTTTCCTGACAACTGGATGAGGCCAATGTTTCTTAAGGTATGGTCAAAGGTCCACTCTTACTGGATTTACCTGGGGTGCTTGTGATACCCAACATATACTGAGCCCTTAGCATGTGCCCTAAGCCATTCTTCTAAATGTGAAAATTCATTCAGTTCTCACAGCTAGTTCCCTGATGGAAGTATACTATTATTATTCCCATTTTATAGATGAGGTACTGAAACACACCCAGTAATCTGCACTAGGTTTATAGTAGGAGGGAGAACACAGATTTACACTGCCAATGTACAAATTCCTGAGACCACTCCAGACACAGAAGTAGCATCTTTGCGGGCAATATCCAGGAATCTGCATTTTCAACAAGCTTCCCAGGCCATTCCAGTGCACAATGAGGTCCCAGAGCCCTTCAGTCCTAGGAATGTGCTGTCCTACGGACCAAAGTCTCACCTCTGACTTCCCTGCACTGTGGATTGTCAGGACCTTTGAGGATAAAATCCAGCTCACCAGATCCCTGGCACGTATGTCTTTATCTCCGGAGGACTGGAGAAGTTCTTTCAGGTTGGGTAGCTTGCTGGCATCTGCAAGCTGAAGAGAAGAAAAATCTCCATTAGCAAGGATCAGGAACCAAATGATAACCAGGGAGCCCTCTGGTGGTAAAGCCAGAGAATTGCACTTCTTTCATGTTTCAAGGAACTTCCTAAGAGGAAAGGTACAGGTCTTCGATTCCCTTTCCAAATACCAAACTCCCAAAGCTCTGAAACGATGTTTTGTAACTCATTTGGTACAATATCTGACCTGAGATGACGTGAGGTTCATTCATTCTTTATTTTTAAATTCTTTTTTTTTTTTTAATGTTTATTTATAAGAGAGAGACAGAGTGTGAGCAGGGGAGGGGCAGAGAGAGGGGGGGACAGAGAATCCAAAGCAGGCTTCAGGCTCTGAGCTGTCAGCACAGAGCCCGACGTGGAGCTCAAACCCACAAACCAAAAGGTTACAACCTGGGCTGAAGACGAACGCTTAACTCACCAAGCCACCCAGGCACCCATAACCTGTATTTAATCCCATTTCCTGTTACTATTGATGTGATACATTTTGCTGCAGGAATATTAATGTCTGATTATGGGATACCACCTCAGTGGAGGGGTCACCAAATACATGGTATATACAAGTGTGGGTAAAGGGCTATCAAGGTCTTTTCCCTTCAGCATCAGCTAACCTCCCGTTAACCAGTCTCTTGGAGATCAGACAGAAGTACCACGGCAACTACATACATAACCAAGCAACACTCCCAATGGTAAAAATGACCCAGGATGGTAAATTGGACTGGAAGAAACTATCGGGGGGGTTCCATGGCTTTGGGTTTCACTGAGTCTGGTGACTTTTTCTGAGGACCCCAGCAGCTGTGTCTGTGGTGTTCATACAAGAGAGTGCCGCCTCTGTGGAACATGGAGCTTCATTTAGGTAGGCACCCCACCCCTCCCTCCACCTCTACTAACCCAGGTACCCCTCTCTCCTCTAAAGTCGCCAGTCCCAATAATCTCTCCCCTGTATAGTCAAGACTCCTGGAGGCCAAGGACTATCTTGTGTGCCATCCCCCCTTTTTTTTTTTTTAACATTTATTTATTTTGAGAGACAGAAAGAGACAGAGCATGAATGGGGGAGGAGCAGAGAGAGAGGGAGATGCAGAATCTGAAGCAGGCTCCAGGCTCTGAGCTGGCAGTACAGAGCCTGACGCAGGGCTCAAACTCAAAACTGTGAGATCATCACCTGAGCTAAAGTCAGACACTAAACTGACTGAGCCACCCAGGCACCCCTATCTCTTTCCTATATGTAGAGGAAAGAACAGACAGATCTGGGTTTGAATTCCTGCTCCACAGGCAAAGCCCTGGACCTCAGGACCTGAAGCTGCACCTCAGTCTCCTGAAACACAGAATCCCCGCGGCTTCCACGTCAGGCTGTCAAGATGAAAGAAGGTAACAGACCTCTACATGTCCACTTCTTTTCTTCTCCATTTTTCTAGAAAGTTGGCTGTTGCTGACCTTGGGTATTTTGTTTTCTAACTCTGTAGTAGAAAATCAGAAACATTTCAGGATTGTTTTATTCCTGTCTCTATTTCCAAAGAGTCAATCGCTAGCCTCGGACTTCTAATAGAACAATCTCTCTGTGCCTTGTGGAGTTTCAGGGAGGACCCGGTTAAAAACCATGGGTATGTGTATGTGTAAATGCTCCATGAGTGTTGGGGCTACACAGTGGGGGAGGCAGAAAGGTAAAGAATTATGACTGAAACCTTTTCATTGTCATAACAAAGATGGATACTAACTCCAAAGTCCTCCAGGCAGGACTTTGGCTCGGTGAGGGCTGGGGGAAGAGGGGTCATCAGGAAAGCTTCACGGAGGAGGTTCCCTGTGACCTGGGCTTCATATGCAAAGGAGCAGAAGCAGGAAAGTACGACGCGTAGTCAGGGAGTTGGATGATGACTCGGTGAAGCGTGCAGGCCCTCGTCCCAGGTAGCCTGCATCTAAACCTGGGCTCTTAAACCCCTACTAGCTGTGGGACCTTGGGTGGGTCATTTGACCTCACCTGTGAACTGTCTGGCCTTGAATCCTGTGTGTCTCAGTTTCTTCAAATACATACTTTGGATAATGTTAGTAGCCTCTTCACGAGATCCCTGCGAAGGTTGATCAGGTTAAACAAACATGGTGCTTACAGCAATAGGAGGGTATTAGAGTGCTCCTATGTTAGTAGGAGTGCTGCAACTTGTCCTCGTTAGCTGCAGGGGGTTCCACGTGGCTGGAGCTTAGACTATGGGGGAAGGGTATCCAGAAGGAGCAGAAGTGAGAAGGACACATCAGTCTGTGAAGGGCCTTGACCCACCTTGGGGACTCTGGGCTTTGTTCTGTAGGCAACAGAGAGCCACTGAGGGTACCCTCTGGGGCCCATCCCCACTGCCTGATGCCTGCACAGTCCAGGGGACACCCCCCAGCAACCTGTGGCCTCCTCTGTCCTTCTTTTCTACTCCTGGTCCACGCTTGTTATCCCAAAGCCAGAGCTGAGCCTCCCGCCAACCACCCTCCTCTCTCCCTTCTTCTACTGTCCCCATCATTCCTGTTCTCAAATCCCACCCTAAGCTGCAGCCCTTGCCAACAGTCCAGACCTGGACACAGGGATCCTGCAAACGAACAGTCAGTGAAGCCGGGCCCCTTTTAGGGGTTCAGGGTGGAAAAGCGGAAGACAGCCCTCCTGGCCCTGAGCTGGACCTTGGCCTCCCCCTGGAGCAAGATGTCTTCCAGAGCCCAGGCCCTCCCACTGCTACCTGTCCAGATAGGGCCCCTGTGTGTTCTGCCAGGCTGCCCACTGTGTCCCCACTCTTTAGCCCCTCAACTGACCTCCTGTACATCCCATTTCACTTTTCAAGCTACTCTGAAAAATAAATCTGCTCCAACAAGTTAACAGGATTCTTCCTCTTATGACCAAAACCTATCTGCATTTTAGCAGGGCCTTAGAAGAATAAGGCATACAAGCAGGGTTCCCAGATAAAATACAGTCCACTCAGTTAAATGTGAATTTCAGATAAACAACAAAATCAAGTTTTTTTAGTATAAGTATAACCTGTACAATATTGAAGTCATAATTGCACTTTCAAAATTATCTGTTACTTATCTGAAATCCAAATGTAACTAGGTGGCTTACCCTTAGTTGGATAAACCTAACAACACTTCCCTTAACAAGACCCTTCTGCATTTGCTCTTGCGGCCTCTCTGCCTAAAAACTCCTCTCACCACAAACTTCCCACCTGCTGCCCCCCATGCTCTTCATTAACTGCCCTGTGTCTTTCCTCTATGCTTCTGCAGCTGCCCAGCATGACATTTCACTATGTCTTCAAGGCCAGCCCAAAGTCACCTCCCCTGTCCCTGACCACCCAGGACTTCTGTGCTCCCCCCATCTCCCCTGCACTTTATGCAGAATCCCATGTTGGTACTAGACTCTCTGGGGCCACCTCAAATTTGGTGGGGACAAACACTTCCTGAGGGCCAACCACAACTTAGCTATCCTGCTTGAGCCCCAGCAACTGACCGAGAAGCTGGAATGAAGTTCAGAACAAGATACTAACCACTACTATGTACTGAGGTCTTATCATGTACCAGGCACTGGGCTAAACGCTGTGCATGCATCATCTCATTTTATCCTTGCAACAGCCTGCCTTTTTTATTTTTTTTAAAAGTTTATCTGCTTATTTTGAGAGAGACAGAGAGAGTGAGCGGTGGAGGGGCAGAGAGCGAGGGAGACAGAGGATTCAAAGCAGGCTCTTCGCTGACAGCAGAGAGCCTGGTAGCGGCCCAGACTCACCAACTGTGAAACCATGACCTGAGCCAAAGTTGGACACTCAACTGACTGAGGCTGTTTATATCACAACAGCCTGTTTTAAAGGAGGAGGGAACAGGTTTGGAGAACGTAAGCACCGTGCCCAGGGTCACGCAGATATTCATTCAATGGTGGGGCAGAGACATGAAACCAGGCAGCTCCAGAGTCTGTTCTCTGGGATTCTCTCCTACCAAATCAATGGAGAAGTAAATGTATGTATATATGTATATATTTTAAAGATTTTAAGTAATCTCTATACCCAACATGGGGCTCGAACCCACAATGCCAAGATCAAGAATTGCATGCTCTACAGACTGAGCCAGCCAGATGCCCTTCAGTGGAGAAATTTATAATGAACTAAATATTTTAGCCCAAAGAAGCAATTCCGGCAGAACTTGAAGAGACTGCTTGGGAAGCTAATACAACCAAAACAACTACTGGCTGAGCCTAAGCCCCATCAAAAGTACAGAGAAAGGTGTATGTAACTTGTAGTATGAAGCAGGGTCAGGAGGCGGAAAACCCTCCGTGTAGACAAGAGTGACAAGCCACAGTGTGTGACAGTGGAAGGCGCTTACCAAAAACTTGACTGAGGAGAATGAGAGTTCAGGAGGAAGGAAGGCATTTCTGGGAGCTTGGGGGAGAAGGCAAAGGGGAGTGTTTATGGAGTGGCTGGGTTGGGAGTGGTGGGGAGGATTCTGAGAGGTGGAGCAGAGGGCGCTCCCAGTGGTAAAAAGCCAGGTAGACAGGCGAAAGGTGGTCCCAGGCTCAAAAGCAAGGGAGCCAGAGGGATGATGCCAATGAGGATAGGGGAGTCTAGGAAAGAGAGGGGATGACTGTGTTGAACTACAACCACCTGGCCTAACAAAGGGCCCAGCACCAACCACCAGCTCCAGCTGATTTCTGCCCAACAGGGACTTCTATCCAGGCTATGGAGGGAGCCTCAGATGTTTTTCCTTTAAAAAGAAATCAACAGGGGCACCTGGGTGGTTCAGTCAGTTGAGCGTCTGACTTCAGCTCAGGTCATGATCTCACGGTTCATGGGTTCAAGCCCCGCGTTGGGCTCTGTGTTGACAGCTAGCTCAGAGCCTGGAGCCTGCTTCAGATTCTGTGTTTCCCTCTCTTTCTGACTCTCCCCTGGTCATGCTGTCTCTCTCTCTCTCTCAGAAATAAATAAAACATTAAAAAATAAAAAAATAAAAAAAAGAAATCACCAAACTCCTGCT